GCATGTGTGTGTGTGTGTGTGTGTGTGTGTGTGTGTGTGTGCGTGTGTGTGTGCGTGTGTGTGTGTGTGGGGGGGGGGGGTATAATGTGGGTGTCACTGTGCACCCCTATGCTCTGTACCTTTTGCGAATCACATGCTTTTTCCTTTGATTTCCCTTGCCTACATGCTACTTGTGTAGGCTGGAAAAGCTGAATGCCGACAAGAAAGCTATGATCAAGGAGTTGACTGATGCTATAGCCAATGAAGATCAAGCCATGATGCAGGACCTGTAAGCATAGCATAATACTCCCTGGTGTCTAGTGATGATCATTGTTTCATTTTGGAAGGCTGAATATTTGATTTTATAATTTTTTTATTTATCGTCTCCACTTCATGGCACATAATAATACATAGCCAATACAAGAAAGGGAGGGTGAATCCAACCACGGAAAATAGCATTATCAAAAGAAGAAAAGGAAGGGAGGTGTCACCTACTCACACTATGTGTTGTATGGCAAGACAGAGTCATACGTGTACACTCTATCATCATGGCTGGATAGTTTTTGAAATGATTCTCTGATAATATCAAAGGGGCAAATGATTATGACGAGACCACAAAAAGGGGTAACATGGTAACAAACAAAGTGCACGGGAGCCACTACACGTTCCTTCATGGTAGAATTCATCATGCATCCTCTTTTGTTACTTCTTCTCTCTGCTCCGTGTCTCAGGCATTGTTTTGAGGACTCCATAAGCCATTTGTGCCACTCGCTCAGAACTGCCCACAAGTATTATGTGAGTGACGCCCACCTCACGTTTGTGTTGTTGTTCTCGGCCTCTAGAACTCTTTCTTCGAGATCTATTCCTTGCATGGGCTCCCTATTCACCTGATATGGAGGGAAAGTAGGAAGTAGGAGAAGGAAAAGTAGGAAAATAAGCGATATCAGGCATGACCGCAACCAACAATCCACTTTAGGGAGCTCATGCTTGATTCATTCCTTTACCGGTTATCACTTATCACCTACACCTCTTGTTTGGAATAGTCCGTGAACAATACGCCTTTCAGGTTATGCTCTGCATGCCAACTTCAGCATGGGAACATTCACAGTGTGCTTTGCTCTGTTTCTAAATGCAGACAACTGAAAACCTAGTACAGGAGATAAGCAATGTGAAGATGGCAGGAGAAGAAGCCAAACTCCGCGGTAAGACAATGTTATGCCAACACATGCAGCACAGAAGCAATACTATTTTAGTTTTGACTAGGCCTTTCATACCAGTACTCTTCAAGTCAAATACAGTGGTGACGGAACTATAATAATAGGCTTCTGTGCTGCGTGTGTTGATTTGTTTCCCTCCAACCCAAAACTATACAGTATTCTGCATAGTTATCGTGCTCAAGCTAGCATGTTATGAATCGTTACTTGTCAGTGTCATATCCCTGGCATCCCAACGAGCATGCAAACTGACAAACAACCAGCAAGGCAAAGTGTGGGGCAGGTCCATGGACATGAACTTGTGCGGAAGGATGGATGCAAGTGCCATGAAGTGAATAAATTACTACTTGTCCCATAAACTGTCATGTGACTATTGCATGCACAGTACATACCATAATGCCGCGTATTAAAACTGGGCATATTCCTGCAGAAGCTGATGTAAAGGCTAGGCCTCTGTTCAAGTCAGGCTTCTATTCGAACCAGTTATTTCTATGTATGCATAACCTTTCTGTCCGCTGTTTGACTGTAACAACTTGTACACATACAATGCAGGTATACATGTGTACAATAGAAAGCAAGCAGCACTTGATCCGCTTCTTCCTTCTTCTATCACTGAAAAAAGCATCTGTCTTGCATTCTGCACACTGGTAGCTAGCCGCTATGTATGATGATTGCTAGAGGGTCTCTAGCAAGTACAACCACATCGAGTCGGCCTGCCATTATTGAGGGCAGTAGTAATTGATCAGGCCCGGCAGATCCAGTCCAGCTGGTAAGGCCAACACCGGACCAACCTGCTGGCAACTAACCCATGTGTCCTGGTGAAGAGGTTGTACAATCATGTACATGTATGTAACCACTATGGGCACACACAAAGTATGAAAGGCTATGACAAGGCCGGACCTATCAAAACCTGCTTCCGGCATTCCTGTTCTTAGTGATACAGGTGTGTTGAGTGTTCTTTTGTCTCTGCTTTTTTATCCTAATCAACATGCTCCGTAGTGGAAATGGGAAAATCCAATCTCATCAGCCTCCAGCAAGAATTGGAGCATCTGCAGGCATCGCATCCCAACATAGAAGGTACTGGAGGGCCGGGAGTAGTAAGCCAGGGATGACAATGTCATCTGGCATGAATCCCTGATCGCAACAGTCTCTGCAGAATTATGATGGGTTACCGCTTTACGCATCCTTAATAAACCTCTATAGTAGCAAAGTGCAAAGTTTGTTCGTTTCTTTTATTTGAATTCGTTTAGTAAAGGTCTTCTACTGCTCACAGAGTGCTTGAATACCCGACTGGGCAGAGATCTTTCACTCACAGAGAATGTGGATCAGTGTTTTGGCTGCAACTCAGGGGTTGGTGAAAAGAGATTGCTCTGTGTGAAACCCAGACTTGCAACCAAAACACCGTTCCACCTTCGCCTGTGGAAGTAGTATTGTGGATTCAACCGCACGCATTGGTTGATTTGTAATGTTTGTGTGCTCTGCCATTCCATTTTATGGTTGGACATACATCCTGATGATGGCTCATGGCCGAAATTTGATTGAGATGATGGAAATTTGCAGTGAAGAGACCAATTGCTGTGATGATGGTGTTGAGTTTTCTGTGTGATGAAGTGGCTGCAGTGGAGCTTGCACACATTTTAAAATTAAGAAATGTTTTGACATGCATGAACAACACAAATCTGAAAACTTTGTGTTTGGTGTGTCACTTGAACTGCCCGGGTTCCACTGTATTGTGGTATATGCATTTTGCTTTTTTCAGAGGAGATCGCTCAGATTGACGCAGATGGCTGTCCGACAGCTAATGATTGGGAGAGTATAGTGTAAGATCTGTCCGAGTGATTCTAATCACAGTGTTAAATTATCATGACATTTGAGCGATGTGGCTGGTTCTTGTAATTCCTATTGCTCACCTTGTTGACTGTCAAATACGTTTAGGGTAGCAGCGAGTTCTTGTAGGAACTGTTTTCAGATTTGTAAATGAGCCTGAGGCTTGAAGTTCAGTTGTTTAGTCAGTTCTTCCCACTGTTGGGATTTATCTCAGGCAATTTTTGCTGCTCTAAACCTGAACACTGCTACAACAGAAAATGTATCTTTTGCACTTTCAGGCATTTGTTCCAAGAGGATATGAACGGGCTTAAGAATGCACAGGAAAACACTGCGCAAGAATTGAAGGCAGCACAGGACAAGAAAGAGAGGTGTGTGTTAATATTTTCTTCCTTTTGCACGGAACCAATTCAATGGTTACAGAATACCTCTTGCCCAGGAAGCAGTTGTCCCTCTCTTCCTCCTCCAGCATCGATGTACTCTTGGCTGGGAGACATTCTGCTGCTCGGATTCTATGGTACCTGTTTTCTTGCCACGAAAATACCCAAATGAGTTTTAATGAACCAATCTGAGGAGTCTAGTTAGACCCTATCGCTATCTTGGTCAGCTATACAAGTTTATGGGTGGAAATAAACAGAATCAGCTGAAGCCTCATTTCAGGAAGGTTTTATTGAGATGTCACGAACAAGTAACTTTCTTTTTGTTCTGCATTCCACTTACTTGGGGAAACACGGATGCGGCTAATGAGGCTTTTCAGCACTTGTGCCAGCAGTTGTGACTTGTGAGAATCATCCCTCGCCCCATTGCCAGGCGCTGCATCTGCCACTGGGTTTACCGGGCGTTAGCGGCCGTTGTGAGTTCCCTTCGGGAACGGACACGTAATTTTTTAAATTAAATTCCACTTGCTTTGGCATTAAAGGGCTTCAGTAGTGCAACATATCTTGTGCTGTGTGTATGCTGTTTGCTGTCAGGCTAATGCAGGGCGTGGATAAACTGGAAAAGGAGCTTGAAAAGAAGAAGCAAGAAAAGGAAGCTCGAGAGGCCCAGAGGCGAGCTGTGAGTTTTATTTGCCTTCTTTTAATTAATGCTTTAGAGAGACCTAGGATTTGCTCAGTAACACTGAAGAAGTGCACGGGTATGATAGTCTTTGTAGATGTCAAGGGCAATGGTATCCTTTTTCTAAACGTTAGTACTGCTGTCAGATTCTAGCTCAGGAAGAAATTTAGCTCACTATAAACAGTTGCATAGGAGCTCCACCTACATGTACCGTAAAATCCCGCCAGAGCGCCCCTACCTTCTCGACGCTTCAGGTGGGGAGGGGCAGGTGGGCGAGTCCTACTTGCCGCATTCAGTGCTACATGAACAAGTACTCACCCTACGAAAACTGTTCCTGCATCTCGTACACCGACCAAAGGTCAAGAGCCAGGAGTCGAACAGACCCGACAAAACGCAGGGTTTGTGCGATCCCTGGTCAGGAGGGTGGGCACTGTTGCGTACATTTCCAACGGGGTCGAGCAAGTGTCTGCAGTGCAGTATGGCATCGCAGACTGCAACAGAGTCATACGAGGATACAATCAATCACATCCCTGACAAGAAGTCAGGGAGGGGTGGATGGGAGAGACGGGGCGCTCTGGCGGGATTTTACGGTAATTGCCACCGACAATGGGATCCCCCCCCCCCCCGAATGGAAATTGTGAAGGACACGAAGATCTTCTTTCCCTTCCTTACTCCCTTCAGGCCCTGATAAGCTCCTCACAGCCTATGTCCAAAGGCCGTCATCCGATATCACCTCTTGTTTCAAGCTCCACTTCAGCAGGTTATCCCGGCATCCAGCAGCCACCGAGATCGCGGCCATCGTTTGTGCCGCCATCCCTCAGTCTCTACTCCAGTGCCAGCTCATCGATAGCGTCTTTGCCAGCAAGTGCGTCGGCAACTGGACCGCCTGGGGACACCAGCAGTCTGTCTTCCAGTGCTGCATCCACTAAGTATGGCCCAACCACCCCACGGCTCATTACATTTAACTTCGGCAAACGTACATGATGGTGTCCAAGGTGGTACCATTCGATGATTGACCACCAAAATGTGTTGTCTCTGTGTCCAGATGATTCCTTTCAGGGTTTGTGCAAACAGTTCCACCTAATTGTTGTATTTCATTATCCTCCTGATTATTTTTTTAAATTTACAAACAGTGGGTCATCCTACATCAATCCACCCAACAAAGTAATAATCTTCATAGTCCGGTTGAGTTAGTATCAACTCCATATTTCCCCACATTTCTGAATTATCCCTAATTAATTTCCTGCCCAACGGTTGATTGTGACAAGGTTCCTTCATGTGAAAGTTCCATTACCAACTTCCATTCTACGAGGTGTGTGTGCACAAGCGTGTGTATTGTATTGTATTGTTTATTTACGGATTCTCCAGAGGCAAATGGATACCTATCATGGGAGTATCTCCAAACCAATCATGAGAATAATGAAAACGTGCATTTGTGTTCTTGTGTGGGCGGGTGGGGTTGTCGATGCTGGCCATGGCAATGATTTTGACCATTCCACGGCCTGTGCTGCAACTCCTGATTCTATTTTTGTTTGGAGCAATAGGTATATCCCAAGTTCAGCAAGGCCAACTATGATATAACCCGCCAGCACCCACATTAAAATCAAACTATGCAGCGTGAGGATCTTAGAAACTGTCGGCATCAAACATGTCTCCACGATTATCCGCACATGTTTGTGCAGGGAGTGCAACGTCAGAGTCTAAGTCATCACCCCCATGACATGACTGTATAACATACTGTGTCCAGCAGTCGAGCCTCTCTTTCCCATTCTCCGAAAAACTATCACCGGCCCTCCTAGTACTGTAGTGTCCACACGCACATACCTTACAATGTGGTTGGCGCATTTCTCGTACTGACTTTCTCATCTTTCAATGTGTGAATGTTCAGATAAGGTTGTGTGTAAAAGTCTGCAAGCGATCAGAATTTGTTAATCCTTAGAAAAGGTGCACAAATCATGCAACCGACGGCACAAGAATGTTCTCACCTACGCAGGTGCCATGCTTTCAGGTCCTGTATCATAATTTGATCTTTCTTGATAGCTTCATCCGGACTTCTTCACTGCATCCACTGTCAAATCTAACACCCCTTCCACGGATCACCATCCTTTCCCCACAACCCCGAACACTTTTTAAAAGTAAAACATCCGTATCGCACTTGTACGACACCTACAATCCTCAGTACTAGTACACAAGCCTCTTGTACGGGCAAAGCAAATTTGCTTACATAATATTATGACAGAAAATCTCAATACCAAAAACAAAAAAACAACAAATATGAACAAAACGTCAAGAATCCGAAGAAAGAAAAAACTCAATCCAATTCCTACTAGTAGTATTGTTCACAACTAATTACTTGATCGTCAACTTTTCACCTATCCTCAGCTCAATTTCTTACACCTTATGTTTCTCGCGTTCATGTACATGTACATGTAGTTCACCTTTTGCGTGGCTGGACGTCACTTGCCCAGTACCTATAGTTGCTGTCCGGACCGTCACTATAAGCATGTTTAATGGTTCTGCCTCGGTTATGTCGCATTGTCTGCTGACCGTTGAGTGTATCCCATCAACTCGGAGTACAGTAGAACAAACCTTTAGAGAGTGACTCTGAAGTGCTATAAGGATACTACTACTAGTGCTTCCAAGTGTAGTGGTCAGATATGTTCCCTGGCATTAGAGTGTAAACCTGGCGTCTGCGCTGTAATGCATGTGACAGTGGAGTTTTGTAGATCCTCTACGTGTCATCCTCAAATTCTCTCTCTCTCTCTCCCTCTCTCCCTCCCTCCCTCTCTCTCTCTCTCTCTCTCTCTCTCTCTCTCTCTCTCTCTCTCTCTCTCTCTCTCTCTCTCTCTCTCTCTCTCTCTCTCTCTCTCTCTCTCTCTCTCTCTCTCTCCCTCCCTCCCTCCCTCCAGGCTCTCTCTCTCTCTCTC